CTCAAGTTGTTTTGTAAAGATATTTTGTGATTCACTCAGTTTCTTGAAAACACAGAGACCAGCATTCAAGACGTTGCAAAAAGATGCCGCGTAAAGCCAAAAACAGCTTGTACACTTATTACCGATAACAATGGAGAGATTATCCTCAAAGGTCTAGCAGTAATCAAGGAGTTTTATTTATTGTATAATACCTAACCTAATGTTTTAGCTATTGTCCCAGCTTTTCAAGAAGAGACGCAATCCAGGTTGGACATTGTACAAGAAACATTGATGGATCACCAAGAAACCGACTCTTTCAAATGACAAGACTTCTCCTCAACGACTCTTTCTCGAAGCCCATCTGTTTATTCTGTATCGTCACATTTATTTATTTCGACCATTTGACTCTTCACACTTTTATGAATGCGTCTCGACGTGCTTTTGAATAATCTGTCCAAGAACCTCTTGACTAGTTTTGGAGCGACTCTGTTGCATCTTGTCTGAAAGCACAAGTCTTGGAATGTAGGTTCTATTAGGTACTACTTTGCCTTTTAAAAGTCAAGGAATGGTTAAAAAAAGATCCTGTTAAAGCCGTAGCAATGCTGTTTGAGTTTTATGAAGAGGAATACACGTTAAACGAATATGTATGTTGGAGTCAATCGAAGAAGATAAAGTAAATACATTACAGGTGAGACCTAGAAAAATTTCCAGGAATTGTTTAACATTTCTTCCAATCGATTTACAGTTACTGACATCATAGACTTGAAAACACAAGCGAGAATGACATTGAAATTCTTGAAAAGTATCTCCAAGTGTTCCTGTCAAACAATAAATGGAAAAAGATGCTGCATATTCTGGATTTATTTATTGTTTACTACTTTCTGGTTTAACGTAATATCCACATCAATAGACGTTGGATTGCTGAGAAACATCGCCGGTGAAAGAGATCTCACCACCATAGGTCTACAGGAAACTTTTTGAAAAGTTCAAAAGATAGCAACTAGAAAAGAGCGTCTGTGTTTGCTTCGTTGAGAGAAGATTATACTAACCTGCTTTAGCGTTTGTTGTATTTACAAAGCTCAATTTTGTTTCTCGAATATGAAATGGATAGGAAAAAAGGGGCTATATAGAATCGATAGTGTTGGATTATAGGCTCAAGACTATGGAAGAAATGGAACCTGGGAGTATGAGTTGACTCTTACAAGGAGATGAAGCGTTTTGACTTTTACAAGACGAGAAAGCTCTGTGCAAAAATAAGCGAGTGAAACAGAAAGTATAAAACTATATTTATGGGAAAAGGAAAAAAAAAAATATGAGCAACGTCTTTCGAGTCAGAGTTGGTGTCGCAATCTTTTTTCCACTTTTTAAAAGACTGTTCTTCAAGGAAGCTATTTCAAATGTAACAAGATATCGAGAGAGACGGTTGAAATGATCCATGAGATGGTGATAGATAAAACTTTCATTTATTGAACGATTAGTTTTATTGTATGGAGTTTTCAAAACAAGCTCAAGTGTTATTTTTCCATTTTCGCACCATTTTATGTATGGTTCTACACCTTTATGAACAGAGAAACACTAGGTGTCATTTTTTTTGCAAATTTTCCTTCGATAAATGCCATCTCTTTCTTTCTCGAAAATTCAAATTTGAGCACAATTGTTTCCTGTTAGAATATGTTTGAAATACCAACTTGAAGGTACTTATTTGTATGCCCTAACAAAGAAAACGATTTTATGAAATTTGACAAAGTCAAGGTATACTTTTCATGTCCTTGAAGATCCTCTGATACTGTTTCATAACTTTGTGTCTACTGTAAATTTCAGTCTCGTACAACTGCGAAATAGTTTAGACTTTGGAATTTAAAAGGTAAAATCGTTTTTTGTTTCCGTGAAAAAACAAGGAAACGTTGCAAAATTTGGAAAGGGTTTGATTGTCGAACAGTAGCCATTTTGAGGTATCGTATATTTGATATGGACTTTTTTCAACTGACTAACAGCCCTTTGGTAATTGGCAATAGGATAAGAAGCACCTTCATTATTGTTTCGCTTCAAGTTGCCAACGATCTTACTTTACCTCAATCTGGATAAAAGGATTCCAATAAATAACTTTCAGTAGGCTTTTCATAAATGAAAACTACATAAGGTTACATCCCATCCATTTATTCATAAAGCTTTCTATTTACTACTCGCATATTCTTATTCGTTTGAGAATGGACTGGTCCATACATTTCACGAATTCTTTGTTCACTGGCTTTTACTCAGTTGACCAACATTGCCAATTGTCTATCAGATTTCATTGTCTTTTTTTTTCCATAGAGACTCCGAAATTCGTTGTTCCGACTACCTTTCCGTTTGACTCGAAAAAATTCAGAGTGTTTTCAACAATTGCAAAGCTATTAGATATACATCCTATCATCATTGACTCAATTTTTGTTTCTTTTAAACTCAAAAAAAAGGTGTCAAGACTATATCGCTCTAAACAGACACACACATACATATATGTATATAAATTAAAGCAATCAAG